AAGGTGGAGGAGAGTTCAGTGTGGTGGAACAGGCTGCTGAAGAGAATCAGAGCCCTGAATACAGGTAAAGCTACACACAGTCTGATTTTTCTCTCTGATGAGAAGGAACACATTTTTTAAAGCCATTTTGCCTTTATTTATAATGGTATTTAATTTCATATTTTTTGACCTGTCACCAAATTCTGTGATGTCTTTTCAGTAATGATGAGAGCAGTCCCTCTCAGGCTGCAGAAGTCTCTGGTTCAGAGAGCATAAAAAGCGACAAGTTCTACCTTTCTTCAGCCCTGCCTGACGGTGTTTTGCAACAGGTGGAGGTAACTGTGATAGTAACTCTAACAGGTTTTTGTTTTCATTCTTATAGATCTGTCAGCTTATTTAGTATTTAATCCTCTCTGACTTTCCACCCCCAGCTGAGCAGTGAAGCTCCAGCCTCGCCCTCTGCTCTGAGCTCTCCGGGTCTGAGCACGAAGAGGTTTTCCTGTCGAATATGCATGGAGTCTTTCCACGGGCGCTCAGACATGGAGAACCACAAGAGGGCGCACTTGGATCCCAACACCTTCAAGTGTCCTGATTGTGACTTCACCTCCAGTTCCTGGTCTGAGGTTAAGGTGAGTTGCTAATTTGTGCACTCATTTTTTTACATTTTTAATTCCTCACAAAAGAATCTGTTTCTGTTGGAAAGGCTCAGAAAACAATCGTCATCTGAAGCTATGAGCCGCCAAAAATTAACCCGAGATATTTTATATAGAATATTCAACAGCTCACTAAATAGAGACACACTTATCCACCCTGTTATTTCTTAGTCTAGCTTTTTCCAAAGCCTTTCTTTTTGATTCGTTCTTTTGACTCTGACTGTTTCTAAATGTAGTTCATATTTAGACTTTACATCATGTCTTTTTGTCTTAGACTCACATGGGACAGCATTCCTATCTGCGGCCTCACAAGTGTCCAAACTGTAGCTTTGCCTCGAAGAACAAGAAAGATCTGCGCAGACACATGATGACCCACACTAATGAGAAACCATTTTCCTGCAAACTTTGTGGACAAAGGTAAGACACAAATAATTGTCGGTCAGAAAACGTTATGCAACTTATCTGCACACACAAGACTGCAAAGTGTTAATGAAGAACTTGTCGACATTGAGTTTATTTTAACCCAACATCTCAGGTTTAATCGTAACGGCCATCTAAAGTTTCACATGGAGCGTCTCCACAATCAGGATCATCCCACTCGCAAGGGCCGGAACCCTAACGCTCAGCAGACTATCATAGTCAACAGTGATGAGGAGGCGCTGGCCACACTACAGTGTAAGAAACACATTAACAGACCTGCAGAAGATTTTGTAGTAAATGGTGTCATTCAGTGTGAAATAAAAAGAATGTATGTATATATATGTGTGTGTGTGTGTGTGTGTCTATCAGCCCTGCAGGGACATCAGACAGTGATCACACCAGAGCGGTTGCAGGCCCTGGGTCAGGATCACATCATCGTAGCTCAAGAACAGGCGCTATCAGATCAGGTACCCGGGTTTACACCATAAATACTTCTTACTGAACAGGGTAGTCTCAAAACGTCTTTTTTTTTTAGATAAAAAAAGTAATAAATCCTCTCTTTTTTTACGACTAAATGTATTCTTGTTTACATTGAAAAGGAGGATGGCACATACATCCAGCAGATAACCACCATCGACGGACAAACAGTTCAACACCTGATGACAGGAGACAACCAGGTGACTGAGGTAATCCTGTACATTTCACCTCTACATGTTGCAATGTACACGACCAGGATTGAATGTCAAAACAAATATGCATAGAGCATATATTATAAAATTTCAAACCTTAATTTAAGCCTCCAAAATCATTGAGGTTTCCTCATTTTCAATGATGTTGAGATACAAAAGAGCACAAATAAAACAACCAAGAAAGGATGATTCTCAGTAAAAACAATAACACTGTGATGAAGGGCTTTGAGAGCATTGTCATCATTTGTCAGAGAGCAGAACAAGTTTCAATCTTGAGAGTGTGTTGTAAATGATTCCACATTTCTGGAGCTTTGTGTGCTTTGGTCTTATCTTATTTCTCACTTGTCCTGTTTCAGGTTCAGTATATCATCTCACAGGATGGAGTGCAGCACTTGATCCCTCAGGAGTATGTGGTTGTAGCTGATGGGAACCACATACAGGTCCGTGCCCTACCTTAAAAGAGGTTATGATGAGTAGATGCTGCATTTTAAGGTATCTGGTTCTAACTGCTTTTTTGATCCTCAGATGCCAGATGGGCAGATCATCCAGTATGAGAGTGAAGGAGCTTTTTTGTCTGAGCAGCAGGTGAGGCAGATATTCCTCATATAGACAGTCTTCAGTTAGAGAATGAGCGGGTTTTGACCAAACCCTGTATACAAACATGGACAGCACAACCATTCCCCCTGAAGTGAATTCAAAATATTTTCCGCATAGTCTAGTGGTTATGTCAGGGGCCCCGTGTGCAGAGGCTAAAGTTATTGCCCCAGCGGCAGTGGGTTCGAATCTCACCTGTTCCGATTACTGCAACCCACTCTCTCCTCCCAACATTTCTTGTCTCTCTTCAGCTGTCCTATCTAATGAAGGCAAAATGGCCCCAAAAATATATTTAAAAAAAAAAAGAAAAGGTATATTTTCAGCTCCCTCAAATACATTTTTCTTAAACATATTTCTGTCATTATAGTTCTTATCATGCTGATGTATATCCTAGTTTCCATTTTCAAAGAGCAGATGTTACGTCATGATTGACAGCTCTGCTGACAAATGAGACTCCTCCTGTAACGCACACTATCACAAGAGTCCAAAATAACTTTCCATAACCATAGGTGTTGTGTAGGTCTGCTTTAAGCAACAGAAGAATCTGTATTGCTGTGGTCTGTATCGACCTGAAAGATATTGGCCATGCTTTTGGTAAATACTTAATGTGCTTTGGGTAGCGTAAAGGGGCAGGACATGAAATCTGTGGCTCCACCACACTCCACACTCTGTGAGTGTCCTGGATCAAAATGTCATCAACTGCCAAATGTGGCACAATCTGTCACCGGGTATTTTTTGCTTCATATTTGTACAAGGGGAAGAGATGGAGACTCGTCCATATTTATATACAGTAAATGGTTGTGAAAAAATGAGCCATAATCTGATATGGTTTTCATTGACAGAAGTGTGTTTTACCAAAACCTTGTTTTTCTATGTTTTGTACGTGTGTTCAGATTGCTGTAAGTCATGATGGTCACATCCAGTATTTACCGGTTAGCTCGGAGCAACAAGTCGTGAATGCTGAGGATCTGGAAGCTGTTGCCCACTCTGCCGTCACAGGTTGGCTCTCTTAGGGAACAGAGCATGTCTCTAATTAATTTCATCCTCCAGTACGCTGTTTGATTGCTGACACTTATCATCGTTTGGAATGAATTTGCTGATTACTGTGCATGTTGATTTTATTAAAATTACCGCATGTGATTCTAAGTTTATAAATTATCTTTTAACTTTCGAGTACTTCATGTCACTGTTCAAATCTGTCAGAGACATCATAAGTCTTTTTAATTTTAGGTAAATAGTTAAAGCGTTTTGTAATACATCATGCTGTTGCTATAGAGAGCGGGGCCATTTTGAAAATGTTCGAATACACATCTGAAGGTTAGCAGTCTAAAATCATTAAATTCATTTTGCTGACCAAATGTCATTTGGCTCTTTGATGGAATAGAGAGGTTGCTCTGTGCTGGCTGACTCAGGGGCTTAAACATACCAAACCACATGTGGTTCAGTGGATGACTAGTTCAAGTGCCTTTCCCATCCATTATGAATGACCATAAGCTTTGTATTACCATAAAAATGATGTCAAATCAGAGTCAATGATTTTTTTCTTTTGCAGCAGTAGCAGATGCAGCCATGGGGCAGACCCAGGCAGTCTACACTGAAGCTACACCTGAGCAGCTGGAGCAGCTGCAACAACAAGGCATCCACTATGATGTCATTACCTTCACCGAGGACTAGAAAGCTTTCTGAGACGGCCTTGGTGAAAACCAACCACTTTGAGCTGACAAGTACAAAGACCTCAACTTACTTATGCATTCAGCTGATCTAAAAATATTTTCTCCTCCACTATTTAACCCGTGCAGTGACACTGCTCAATGAAATCAAAGCATTTTGTAAATTCAAATGATTGCACCCATTGCTTCAGGGGCTGATCACTCTCAGTTTAAGTAAGGTTAGTCTGTTTTTGTCAATAATAATTATGATTCATGTTAACGTGCCTCAACTGCACCATTTGCAAGACAATGAAATCAAAGGAAAATGTAAAGGCTTACGTCATGTTATACAGAGTGTCCAAATGAAAATGTATTTGTTTGAATGGGGTGAAATGAAAGGGAAGTCTTAATTCCTGATCTGTGATGACTTGTGTTTATTGTATGAATGCCACAACATTGTATTTACTAAATATTGATCTGTACATATCTTTTGACTTCGTCCTTGTTCCATGATGGGGGATCTGTGTTGATTTGGTGACTAGGAAATGTTTAATAAGCTGAAAGCTGACACCAAATAAATCACTTTGTGTATCCTTGTGTATTTTTTTTCTTGTCTACATAGAAATGTAATTATTTTTTATACAGTGGGCACATTCAAGCAAGCGAAGGTAGAGAGGAGTACATGCAGCTCTGTACACATAGTGAGGTTGATGTTACTTTTTCATTATAATGTGCTATTGGCAGTTCTATCAATCTGTTCACATCTTCTCTGCCCCCTCATTAAGATATGCGCTTGTGTCTGCCCTCTGAATACCTGCACTATGGAAACATTTAACATGCGCATTAAGAGGTTTAATATGACATATATGAATGGGCAGCTGTGGCTCAGTTGGTAGAGTCATCACCTCTCAACTGGAAGGTCAAGGGTTCAATCCCCAGCTGAGCAATGTGTCCGATGTGTCCTTGGGCAAGACCCACATTGCTCCCGCTGCTTCAGTGGCAGTGTATGAATGGATTAGTGTTGTACTTACTCTTAATGTACAACACTTTGGATAAAAGCATCTGCTAAGTGAATTGTAACATGTGAATGTTTGTCACCATTATACACAATATGTTTGCAGTCACATGAGGGACTCATCTGTCTGTGCCCACCATCTCATGAAATGACAACTTCCTCTTTCCTTGAAGGAGGGGCCTCGAGTTCTCCAAAAAGACTGGAAACTGGAAACCAAAAAAAACAAAAACAAACCTGGTGAGCATTCAAGATGAAGATTGTACTCCTTTTGTTTTTTTCATTAGGTATGGTGAAAAAAGGTCAAATTTGACAATGTTCTGTTCTGTTTCCTGTAATGGGGTTTGAATAAGAAATGCTTGTTTTCCAGAGATCCCTCGTCTGAAAGGGCAGCAGAGGATTGAGGAGTTTGAACACATTCTGCTCAGCTTCGCCTTCCCTTCACTTTACAACAGTTACAACAAGTTGTGTTGTAAACTGTACCCAGGAGGATGTTACAAGCTGATGGACAGTGCAGGATTTACCTGCGATTTACTGAAAGGAAGAGTGACGAAGACTGAGAAAAACGGCTTGATAGAGTTTAAGATATCCAATGTGCGGGTTGTGGATGGAGGGTTTTATAGATGTATTGTTCTGGGAACTGAAAACCACATCTACACAGATTACTATATCGAGATATCTGGTAAGAAGACATTATGCTTATGCTTATACATTATGTGCTGTGCATATTATGTGCTGTTATTAATGTCTAATGCAATAACCTGTGGTGTGGTTATGTTTAGTCAAAAACAGCTTTACAAAGCTTTGTTTAATTGCAAAATAATATTTAAGTGGAGGTTATTCTTCAGTATAGCAGAGAATGAATTGAAAAAGTTAAGTTCAGCCATGAGCTTATTTGGAATTTTTGCATTTTGCAGAGGCTTCAGGACATCACAGCCAGTCTCATCCTTCACTGACAACAACAATCAAAGCACCAAACACCTCCACAACACTTCCAGGATCCACTAGGCCTGCTGTGGCACAGGACCACATTGACAGTCCCAGGTTTTGACTCTGCACATTCATTATCTGTTGCTCTCTGGCCAAAGTACTCTGTCTGACTGCAGTGTATCTTTTTCATTCCAGAGTCCCTGGAGTTTTAGCCTGGCCCTGGCTGTCATTGTGTCCATCACAGGAATGATTTTGATCACTTCAGTTATTGCTGTAATTGTCTGCAAGGTGAAGACAAAACAGTCAGGTAAGCAGGTTCCTTAAATGCATAATCACAAAGATCCACATGTCCATCAGTGATTTAAGTTGCTTTGTGTACTTTTTTAACCCAAAGATTTATTGCTTTCTTTGTAGACAAATATGGACACACTCAGTGTGAGTCACTGAAACAAGAGGCCTCAGTAAGTGCCAAACAGGGAACACATGCTCTCTGTGATTCATCGTCATTTGTTTTGAAGTGTTTATTCTTGAAACTTCCTCTGCAGCACTGTTTCTGTTTTGTCTTTCCAAGGACACGTGCGGCATCGTCTACACAACGGTGGACTTCAGAGCTCACATGAAACCAACAGAGGTGTTCGCTAACCCTAGGACGCATGAAGCACAATCTGGAGCACCTCATTCCATCTGGAGAGCAGAGCATGATGGGATGGTGGAGTACTCCACACTAGCAGTCCAACATTGTAGATAGTGTCTTATTTTGATGGGACTTTCTTCGATGTCTCAAAGAGAACTTTGTGAATTTTAAGCATACATGTGATATATTTAGGGTTAGTACCTATTGGGAATAACACAAGTCATTTCTAATGAAAAGATGCTCTTTGTTGCATTATGGGAAGTGTAGGAATCCTGCCTTGTTGAAGCTTGAAAAACATGATTTGGTCTCTGTTGCTTCTTTTTTTAACTGCTTTTGTCTGTTTTGAACCCTCTAACTGAATCAAAATTGTGTTGTTTGAAAAAGGAACAATGACATAAAAATGAGATAAAATGTAACTAAATAAATAAACACAATCATTATAATTGTGCTTTTGTATTTGTGTTGTATGCTGTTGGCTCCTTTTTTTTGGTTCTTTTAACACTTCGGTTGTCAGATCCAGTCATAGGGTTATCTTTTGTTACATCCATGTTGGTCCTTATCAGTTTCTTCTCTATTACAACCTCAGAGGAAACCTGCCTCGCTGCTACTCTGAGCCGCTCGATAATCTATTCTCGGCCTGTTCTTCTTTTGCACACAAAAAGCTGCTTGCAGTTCTTTTTGAAGCGTCTATAGAAGGTCACGTTTCTTTTAAGAGCAGGTGAATGAACAGATCAGACGGATTCTTATTCCTGTTATTTCAGTACAAACTATGGTCCTGTATGTGTCTTCAGAGTTTCTGCTGCACTGATAGGAAATCTTTGTTGTTGTTACCCACAGTCAGACTGACATAAGGACATAAGGACACAGAATGCATCCAGGGTATCATCATTCATTTGTCCTATATGTTTAATGCAAATGCATAATGCATGCTTAATATACGACCAATAACCCCTTTTTTGGTGCCTTTTGTTTTTGTATTTAGTCAAAGAAGCCTCCATGTGGAAACACCTCTTTATTGATTACAAATCAGGTTTCTTTTTCAGTAACATAGACTTGGACTTACACTTAGACAGGCTATTGCGCAGAACTCCCTGATTAAAACGTCTCTCAGGATACAGAGCTAGTCAGAGCCATAGCCGAAGATAGTGCTACAGCCGTAGTGTCCCTGCAGAAAGTCAGGAGAAAATACATTTCCTTTCAAAAATCGTCATAATGGTGTTGAAAACTTTTCCATTGCAGTTGGAGCAATTGACCAAAGAGATGTCGGCAGATGCAGCTGAATTCATTCCAGCCACAGATCGTGTATTTATGGTATTTTAGATGTTTCCAGCTAAAGCAAGTGACCATACACTGCTTAGTTATTTTTATTTGAGAGCTTTGACGTCAGGGCATTAAATGTATGTTTACTCTTACTTCTGAAATGTGGAAAATTAACTTCAGATGGTGTGATGGTATGACTCAGCTCATTGTACGGGTTGGTTAAGGCTCCAACTCAAGCAGTATTTGATGTCATCATCAATGGAAACGCAGTCAAGATGTACAGCTGAAGGTGGACTATACAGAGCTTTGTGAAATGTGTGTTTGTTTAGTTTCTGTTCTTACCGTTCCAGTTTGATCTGCCCTCGTTTGGAGATAGGGGTGGTTTGCCTGCTGTCATCACCTCTGAAGTCCAACTCTCTACCCTGCTTCTGTTGCTAAGAGAGCAAAACAAAACTTATGTTAAACATACATTTAACGTCACAGGAAATGACTTACAAACTCTCAGCCTACTTATTCCACCGGTCCTCGCTTGATTGTGTTTTCAATGACAGGCTAGATGTTGCCAGAGGTGATGGTTTGGAAGGCCAATCATGCTGCTGCCATGAAGGAGGCCTCTGTCTGGCTCAAAACCTGGTTGGCCTCAGAGATGCGCCCCACCTGGACGCATAAGACAGTTGACAGTCACAGTTCAACAGAGCACACATACACGCCTGGTTGGAGTGTAAATAGACACTACATTTTGTTTTCTCCTGTCGTTTGGTTACCTCAACAATGTCCCTGCCCAGATTTTTGGTCATGCTGCAGGTGCCAAACTGGACTGACCAAGGAGAGTCTGCCCGTTTTAAAGCAATGGACTGTACTGAGATGTACCAGTGTTTATACTTTAAAAGTAAATTATATAAATAAATGATTTATATAATAAATAAATAATTATATAAAATAAAAAATAAGTTATAATGGGGCGGCTGTGACTCAGTGGTAGAGTTGGTCATCTCTCACCAGAAGGTCAGGGTTCGATACCCAGCTCCTGCAGCAACATGTCCGATGTGTCCTTGAGCAAAACATTTAACAAGAAGTTACTCATGTTGCTTCGTTGGCAGCTTATAAATGTATGTAAATTAAATTAGCTATGGACACTTTACATAGCAACCTCCGCCATCAGTGAGTGAATGGGTGTTATTGGGTCAGTGTGACCTGCAGTGTAAAAGTAGTCAGAAGACTAGAAAGACATTAGTTAAGCTCAAGTCTGTTTACCATTTATATTCAACCTGAAAACTGTTCAACCACAAACATATACTAAATTGCAGGCCGAGCCTGCATTTTAAATCTCAGTGTGATTTATCACAATCTGGACAGGACCAGCAGACTAAAGGGGACACACAGATTAGAGGAGCTGGTGTGAAAGATGTGAAGGATATATGCATGCTTTTTAAAAAACTATACGTTATTTTTGAGCAATAAGAGAAAACACTACATATCCCAGGAGCAGAGGTGACACAGGACAAACATCTGCATTCTTTGTCACTGACTCAGAAATACGTTAATGGGGTCTGGACACTGTGGATGCCTCTACGTCCTCTTAAAATCTTTTCTCCTGCAGGGCTTCCCCGCAGTCTTTGCTTTGATCAGGGAGGCCCCTTCACACAAAAAAAGATGTCCAGCGTGTTTTAACTGGGTAAACTGCCTGTTTTGCCTCGAGTTCCGTGTGAGCTTTAAAGGTGTGACATCTCAAATCAAGTTGACCTTTAACTGAGTCTTGCCGTAAGGAATATTAGATGGAGAGATTGTCTTTCAACAATTCATCCTTTTAAGACTTAAATGTTAAAGACATGAAGAAATGGTAGCTTTTCAACCAGTCAGCTCAGACTTACTGTAAAATGGAAACATTCAAACATTCAAAAGATAAAAAGCTGCTTCTTGGTGTTGATCACTTCAGTGATTTATACTCACACAAGTGAAGGTCCAGTCTTATTAGAGTCTCAGTCCAGCCAGCATATAAAAGTAGTTTCCCCAAATGGCCATACAAAATAAAATAGTTTCATGAATCACATCTTGATAACAGACAGTGCAATATGGAGATAAAACGCCTAAAGAAAAGAAGAAATAAAAGAACTATTTTATAATATGTTGTTATATTAGACTATTTTGTATCAATAACTTACAGAAAACCATTCAAAAGTATTATAACATACTAACATGTTGATTTATTAACATACTACTATACAAAAATATAAGGAAGTTTGTTAGAGGATTAACTTTTATTGTCTTCCAGATCACTGAATAATAATTACAAGGAAGTGTTTAATAGATACATCTCACACTTTTCTTTAACATTGTTTTCATTGGTTTTATTCTGATCCAAGGGCTGAATCAACAACAGTGTACATACACATGACCACATAGATATCCAATCAGCCCATTCATCATTCTAATCAGTCCATTTCTTATACGTAGGTGGTTCTTCCTCCTTCCAATGCATGGCTATACATTTGTTGGCTGTAATAAGGCCAGTTCTTATATTTTTGAGTTTGTTTTTCTATTGGCATTTATATGCCTCAAAGAGTTACTGTTAACTCTGCGGGAATCGTTCTACCTGTGATGTTATTAAGCACAGTTAGTAAAAGGCCCAGAACATGTGTGTCAGTGTTCCTATTCCTGTTTTACATCTCGGGCAGAACAGGGAGTATTCAGGCTTGATTCTACTTAACCTTTCAGCAGAACAATATATTCTATGGATGTGTTAAAGAAAAAAAAAAGACTACCAATACAAAGTGCTTCCCAATTCCTCTTCTTTGAAGTATACATTCCTCCTCCCACTTGCGTTTCACTCCCAGTGCATCCCATCCATGCTTCATACACTTGCTTTGCACTTAGTTTCACAAACTATGTTGTTGTGTTATTCTATTGCATGAAATAGGCCATTGATCAAACAATAACATTAGATATAATTCTTTACAGGAAGATTTTGCAATTTCAAATTGTACAAGTACTCTATTACATTTAAAGATGTAGCAGTCACAATGCAGACAGTAGAAATATAATGTAGAAAATCCAACTTCAAAGTAATTCTTTGTTGGAAAATTGCTCCTGTCAGTATTACTTGTGTCACCCGATTATTTCTATTGTTAGTTTTTCATTACCACATATCTTTCCACTTCCATTTGTAATGGTTACTTTGAAATGTTTATCACAGCAGCAAAACGTAGTTCGAGTTTGGTGTCTGCAGAGTCTGGCCTCATCAAGCCTATAGATTTATTTTACATGCAGAAATGTGAGGAGTGTTGATATCTAATATCTTAAACTCTGAGTTAGAGCCTGCAGGTGGATGCTGGAGTGATGTTAGAAAGTAAGAGCGTAGCAAGTGACAGAGGAAGAGACCAGGATTCTTGCAGCTTACCCAGACCACCAAAACTGTGAAGACTGAGATTGTGTAGATTGACGCATGGCAAGGGTGAAATCAATGCGTCAGTCAACCAATGACTCAGCCACTTGAAATAGAAAAAGATATCTGCAAAAAAGGAAATTGTCTGCAAGAGTAGCAAAAAGATGCCTGAAATGTCTGTTACACATAAATCTAAATATTCTGTTGCCCATTCTTTTCAATCTGCAGTAGTCAAATACTTCAGATGCCTTCAATGGCCAATTCAGCATTCAAATACATGAAGTACAAATATCGATTACTTACATAAAAGAGTAAATACAGAAGGACAATATTGTTACTATACTTTTATTGACAAGGATATATATACATGTATCTTTATAAATTAACTATTTAGTGCACATGGATAGCTAGAACAGCATTTATATCACAGAGAGCGTCATTGTTTTATTCAGAAAAGTGTCTTGTGGCTCTTTCTTTCTTTTTTTTACAGTGTTGCCATTTTCTTTTTCTGTCCTTGATGAGAAGACAGAATGTAAACTCTTGATTATAGTGCATATAGAGTACACAAATAAACAATACAGTCAACAAGGGTATCATATGTGCTTTTTTCTGCTGTGCTGCTCTTCATCTGAATGTTTGGCGTCCGTTAAAAGTCCAGGTTTTTGAAGTCGTCAGTACATCTATACCTGCTCTCAGCATACCTGGTACATACCAAGTGGGGTAGACACGGGCAGGTGTGATGTTGCCTCTTTCCTAGGTATGGCACCTGAAAGTGAGTAAAATTGAGGAAGGGGGAGATAATCTGACAGTTTAATTAAATCCCTCGTCAACTGACAAATTAAGTTTAAATAGGCTGAATCTAGATTGCTGTAAGCAGAACTAATTGTTTGCATCTGTAGAAAAGCAAAGTGATATACGGCTTTGATTTGCCGCTTCCCTGTGAAGCAGATCGATAGACTCTGCAGTTATCTGAAGCTTTTCTAAAGCTTCAGCCAAACCTGCCAGTGCTTGACATAATCTGGATTTCCTTTAGGAAAGTAGGACTCTATTTGTGTGTGTGTTAGGAAGCACAATGCAGTCAGATTAGTGACATCACATTTCTCCTCACCTTGTGACTAAAAGGGTGGCATTCATCTCCTTCCTCTCCTCTTGGGACGCACATCCTCAGACCCCTCAGCCACAGACTTACAGCACAGCAAAGACCAAAGCCACACTGCAGGTCTCTGTCACAGGCCTGTCGGAGAGAGAGAGAGAGAAAGAGAGAGAGAGAGAGAGAGAGAGAGAGAGAGAGAGAGAGGGATGATGATAAAATAATGGAGGGAAAGACAGAAAAACACAGAGTTCTTTCCATGACAGTTAATCTGTTTTGTTCTTCTGAATGCAAATAGAAATCCCTCATTATGTCAATGCAGTCAAAGCCATTTCATCCATCGCCTGTCATCTTCCTAATTCATTTACAAATCAGCATCAATCACTGAGATAATTTCCTCTTGTTTTTCCAGCGGAGGAGGATGTGGTCTCCTGTCAGTCAAGGCTAATCCAATTTGAGAAGATGATCTTGAAAAGTTTATCTGTGCTGTTTGCATGGTGTTAAGGTTTATTTTTTTACATGGCTAATAACTTGAATAAAAGCTTTTCCAACAGAGCTGTGGACATGCTGCAAACACACACACACACACACACACACACACACACACACACACACACACACACACACACACACACACACACACACACACACACACACACACACACACACACACACACACACCTCTGTGCACGACCAACTGTCGTGCTTTAAACCTCATTGCTCCCTATATTTTTATTTTTATCTTGATCTTTAGAGTATTTATTACATTCTTTTACAATTTTTGCAGGTATGAATGTGTATGTGTGCTTGGCTTGTGTTTGTGTGCATGTGCTGGTGTATGTGTAGATATTTTATATTTTTTATATGCTGCCACTGGATTGCTCCAACAGAGTTTCGCTGTATAACATGCATTGACAATAAAGATCTATCTATCTATCTAAAAGGCAATGCCGCCAAATATCAGAAGTTAATACTGTGTCAATACAATCAGATTGCATATGACTTTTGAGTGTGTAGCACTGGTCCTGATGTACAGACAAAATGAGCGATAAAATACATCTGACAGCGGTAGTCAGTGATTGCCAATGGGGTTCAGAGATTGGTACTAAAACAATAAGGGAATAACTTAATCAAAAGAACATGATTGAAAAATTGATCAGTGGATTGTTGAAGTCATTTGCCCCCGAGAAAAGCCAAACATTTGCTAACGTCTTATACTCAGTGGTAAGGTTAAGCTTCTTTTCTCTTTTCTTTATGCTTGTAATTGTTGTTGGATGGTTTTGGATTTTGGAGTTATATATTTTGACAATAACTGTTAATTGCAACCTTAATAAGAAAGTCATAATAAATGTGGCTCAATTCACTTTAAAAAAAGAAAGAAACAGAAAGAGAAGAAGAAGAAGATATACTTTATCAATCCCGCGAGGGGGAATTCAATTTGACTGTTTTTGAACATGCTTCAGTAATTAGAATCTTCATTAAAACTTTTTAATCTGAGAAACTGCCAACAAAAAAAAAACCGAACAGGATAAAGTCAGTGAAACAGAGTGAGAAAGCTCACACTTACCCCTGTGATGACAGCTCCTCTGGAGCAGCTCAGAGACAGCAGGAGGAATGACAGCAGCACCGCCCTGCAGCTCATCACAGCAACAGGACAACTGGACTCTTTCAACAGCTTTTAATGACAATCAACAGCTGTCAACGGTCTGTCCAGCACCTCAATCAGCTCTGCAGTCAGTCATGAAGGGATCCTGAACTGCTCAGATTGGGGATTCACACTCTCTCCCTCTCTTTATCCACCTCCAGACCCCCACCCAACACCCCCCCTCCTTCCTCCCCATGTCTGAAATCTCCCCACGCCCTCTCTGCCTGTCTCCTCAGGAGCTTCGTCATCTTACTCATCTGGATGACGCTGATGGCTGCTTTACTTGTAGAGCTTTAGGGTTTGACAATGAATCTACTGTAGGAAGAGGCACAACATAACTCAAGTGGTTCAAGTTAACACAAAAGTATATAAGCTGCTCAACAATGAGTGATAAAATTAACACTAATTAATTAATTTTTGAAAAATGTTACAGGTGTCACGAAATGCAGAGTTATTTGTTAACCTGAAGCAGACAGATCAAGACAATTCTACATCAAAGCCTGTCAATAAGTTAAATGTAACAAACAGGCTGCTTCATGGGAACTATTATTGGCTACAAATTTCTATTGCGGGATATTTGTGCAATGTGTGACCAAGTGAAGTCAACTTGAATGTTTATTCACACTAAGAAAAAAAGGCCTAAGTTGATTTTGTGTTTTCACATTAATGCTTTGCAGACAGCGTTATGTACAATATTTTCACAGTAGAGTGTGCTCAGAATTTGTCACATTTGTTATATTTGAGGGAAAATCACAACTTCTAGGTGTGTGCAGTTCTGAAATCTCTCGTTATTTGTCCAAAAATCCCAGATTTTCATTCACTTCATCCAATTACAATTTCATCTCAGTTCTACAAGTTTCCACGAATTTGGAGTGACTCAAACTTTCCTATTGCACATTAAGCAACAGAGTCACTTTTTGAAAACAGAAGACAAATAAAGTGATTTAAATGTGCGAAAAAGTACAAAAGAAAGTTAGAAATCTGTGAATGATTTGCCATCAAACACTTTAAAGCAGGATGATGGTAAACTGACTCTGGGTCAGATCTCTATTTTAGGTTTGGCTCAATTAAAAAACAACTGTTTCTAAAGTGACCATGTGTAGCAAATAAAGACATCCTCCTGTCACAAAAGATCAGTATTGCTTGCATGTGTTTTGTGTGTGATGCACAGTAATGCAATTGTGTGTGGATTTGTCCTGTGTAGATGATTTTGCTTGAATAAACTTGCATTGGTGCATGTGTTTGCCTACGTGTGTGCTGGGACAGTGATGGGCAGCCAGTTGTCAGCTGAAGCGCTCATGCTCTGATTTAAGTGGTAAGAAGAGATTTATGAGTGAGCAAGAGGAGAGGATAAGATATGAGTATTACAGAAGAACAGAGGGAGAGTACCCCATGGATTAGTCAGCAGGACATTACCACGCTGCCGAGCAAGTGATGGATTCCTCCGTTGCAGCGGCCACATAATTACATCCACCCATTTCTGCCCCATCAGCAGAAGCAGTGAAGCCTCACTGTCCTGGGACAGGCTGCAGTAATCATTCGGGAGGTGAGCCCAGGCGCTGGCCTCCAGCTAACTTTAGAAGATAACATATTGATAAAATCCATCAACAAAAAAACAGCAAGAAACAAGTTTCCTACACAGTGGTGATTCTAGTCTGTTGAGGCCCAGGCAAAGCTTCACAGGGGTCCCCTCCAACCACTCATCACCATTATGTTATCAATAATCAAACAATTAGAAAATAAACTTTTTAATATCCAACTAACAATCCCACTGCTGGTGTTTCGACTCTGACTCAGGGCCACAGCCTGCAGAGCTGGACATACGGCTTCTCTACTAGTTAACCAATGTTAAACGACGAAGAACAAACACTGCAACATAACCCAGAAGTTATGTGGTTCAAGTGTCTGTCCCCCTACAGCTTAGACTAGCAGCTTCAGTCTTTTTCTATTTTACTGTTTAATATTAAATTGTCATTAACTGTTGTCTAGCTTTCTTTCTTTCTTCACTCCCAGCTGCATGATTCCTCTTCATTTTCCCTCAGGGCCTTTCACTGACAAATTTGGGTTTTAACAGGAATAATGCATGCCACACTTTGCAGAAGTCAGAGTAAGCACCGTCAGTCGGGTCCCCTTAGGGAGGTTTCCGACTGTCATTGGAAACTTGGCACATTTTGAACCACTGCTGGGGTTTATTATTATAAATTATGTCAGCCCCCAACAGTTGCTTGCATTGCCTGTTGACAAGCAGCACCCTTTACATCACTCCAAGGTTTGTTTTTGTCCCACAAGGTGAGAAATTTGTCTTGATCTCTTCACCCATGCTGCCATAAAAACACAACATTCAACATCAGACACATTAAACATAAAAAACATGAAAATTATATAATAATAAATGGTCGTCAATGGGGCTAATTTGCAGTGAAGAATGGCACAAATGGCCCTACAGATTGTCAAGGTTTCATTCCATATTAGTCAGCGAGGAGGTCATGCAAAGACGCCAGGGAAAACTATAGGCTGACATATTAAACCATAATGCCCTAAAATAGAAATCCACATTTAGGCACCTACTCAAACATATATAACAATATCCCTCTTTCGATTAGATAATAATTCTAAGTCTGATATGGCCTACCACTATTTTACCATCACATTGTTTCGTCAAGTTACCATTTTTCCCCGCACTTCGTGTAGTTTGGTCTTCACAGGAGCCCATAGTTCACATGACGGGCACGTGACGCCACCCGGAAGCCTCGGACGCGAGCTGACAACAAAACAAAACTTCCTCCAGAAAAACTTTCATTTTGTTAGTTATTAATAATTGTTTATAATGGAGTCGACCCTTGAGCAGCATCTTGATGACACGTAAGTTATTACCGACACGTATATCGTGTGTTTTACAGTTCAGCGCGTTTAAATAAGTCTTTTTGTTTGTTTCTTTTCTTGGGCAGCATGAAAAACCCAGCAGTCGTCGGGGTGCTGTGTACGGATCAACAAGGACACAACCTGGGCTGTAAGAGTTTATTAGGCTTCTGAGCATCTGTTCTTTTAAGGAAAGGTTTCTCGTAATAAAGACGTAAAATGATCCGGGCAGAGTTAGAGTTGAATTACTCAAGAGGAACTAAAATGTAAAATACTACAAACCAAAAAAAAACACAGAAGGAGCACAGAGAAATAATACTTTTTTATACTTTTATACTATGTCAGGTGATGTTGTCTATGTCGTTTCCAAAACACGAACCATCATCAGTCCAAAATGAAATCATTAAGCACTGTTGGTTCTTATAAACTGAATCTGTATCCTTCTGTGGTAGAAGACTAAATAACTTGCGTTTCAGGCAGTTTACACACAAAACAAGACATTTTAGAGGGATTTATTAAGGAAATAATGGGTAAGCTTGTTGGTACTGTAAGTAGATGTGAATTGAGTGACGTAATATACTAAAGTATTGTTATTTGATATGTATTTTTCATTGAGACATGCAGTAAACCAATAATACAGACAAATATATTCTCTACACAAACACACCCAGTGGACCCAGTTTGTCCTGTATTCACAGTTCTCACTGAGATGTTATAATAATGAAGTTAATGTAATAACACATCACAGCAAATAAGGACTGTTATAAAAACCAAAATGTTAATCACCTCCAACACCTATAAAAACATTCAAAAAGTCCTGTGTACCATAGCTTTCATAAGCCATCTATTTTTGAGTGATTGTTCTTTTTAGGATCCTTTATTAGTCTTGAAAACATGTCCACAGCTTCTCTTCCTGGGGTCTGCAACAAATATTAAACAGGTTCCATACAAATATTTAATAAACAAAATGAATCTGTCTTTAACATCTGCATTGACTCGTGTAGTGAGCAGGTTTATGAACGTTTGTTACAGTTGTAGATTTGAGTGTGTCATACTTTTCATTTTAAAAATTCTAGTTTTTTTTATCGTGAGAATGTAAGAAACAAAAAGAATCAAAGAAACCTATCATCATTGGCTTCCCTAAAATCACTTCATACCAACAAATGCTTCCAAAATGTTGAAAATGATTTTATAAAGCCCCTTTTCGACCAAAGGTCCCCAGAACTAAAAGGTTCAGGGACAATATTAACTTGAAGAAATTCATTGCAGCGGTAAATATCATCTATCTTCCTAAAAGGTGTTTCTTAATGAGTTTGGTGAAATGAGGGGAGTGAGGTATCCAGTGATCATTTTTACACAAACTTCCCGGGACCTTAGTCAGTGGTGGAAACACAGACAACAATGGGCCACAGGAACCTTTTAGTTTCTTGAAGAGAAGTCCCTGAACCTTTTAGTTCTGGGGACCTTTGGTCGAAATGGGGCTATAGTTCTGGGAGATAGTTCCTCCAGTGGAAACGGGGCTTAAGAGGCATTTATGGCACTGAGGAGCTCTGAAAATCAAATCTTATTATTGCCTTAATCTTCAATATATTAAGTAGTTCATTGTGATCAAATAAACAAAACATGTTGATTTTAGTTAAATGCAGCCCTGTAAGGTGTAAATATGATCTGCTGTATGTACTGATGTATTGTTAGATTAGTCTGCCCCTGATCTCTTTATAAATTCTTCTTAGTGATATTTTCATTTCTTCCATCCCCAGGTCGCGGCTCCCTGTCTGATGAACACGGCGGTGTTGTGTCTGTTTTGGCCAAACAAGCTGCAGCACTCAGCAAAGACCCAACAGACACTCCGACTGTGTGCCTGGAATCTGAGTCAGGGTGAGCTCTCACACAAACTTTTTTTTTTCTTTGCTTGACAAACTTTCATAACCCTTTCTCTTCTTCTCAGTAAATGTAAGAGAACTGCCTGTAGTTGTTTTGATTAATCCTCAGGAGGATCATTAAATCAAAGAAAACAGTTGAAACGGATCCAAAATCAAAGATGGAACATCCTTTTTTCTTTTTTTACCTCAGACTTTGCTCAAAGTTATTGCAAAGGTGTGCTTTTCCATTTGTAAGGCTTTGGTGCCACCTTCTGGACAAACATCGTCTAGTTCCTCTGTGTCCTCACTTCTACTCCTCTCAGTACTTGTCAGAAGAAGTCGCTTAAAATGTTGGACCTAGTTGTAGTTGTAAACATAATGTAAACTTCCACAGCTTTGCTTTCTAAGGAAGGAAGGAAGGGTTACAGGATTTTGTTTCACACGGTGTAAATCAATTTTCAGATGAGCAAGTCACATATCAAAAAACAGCTGATAATTCTGTTCTGATTTTTATTTATCAAAAGACTCTAGAAATACACGTTAATTAAAAACTAGTTTACACTTGTTACTTTTTCGAGCTGTAAAGCTGACACTCAGGATGATGATGCTTAGAAAATCTGTTAATCATTGCAGACAATAGTAGGGCATCTTTAGGGAACTTTGTATTTGTATGAAGTTTAAAGTATTGATCATTTTGTGCTACAACACCAGGCCCAAATGCATTGCATTAATAAGCTCAGTCTGTAGGGATTTGGGTTGGGAACCGAATGGTTGCCGGTTCAAGTCCTGAGCACTGCTGAGGTGCCCTTGAGCAAGGCACCTAACCCCCAAAACAGCTCTGGAGGGCTCGCTGTGGGCAGCCCCCTCACTCTGAGACCTCTCCATTAATTCATGTCCATAGGATCCTATTTGTGCATGTGTGTGTATTTTGGCCCATGTGTGTGTTCATGTTCATTAAACAAAGTGTAAAACCGGATCTCCCCTTGCGGAATTAATAAAGTATAAATTATTATTATTATTAATATGGAAGGTGAATGACAGACAGGTTGAGTTTCATATACGAGATGCTGTTGGTGGTTGAATTATTCATCATATTTGTCAGTAAGTTTATCATCTCAATGTTTTTTTTCTGAGTCTGTTGTTTTGTTTGTTTTTAGAAACATTCTGGTGCGGAGTCATGGGACCATCACAGTCGCCGTTCACAAGATAGCATCCTGAAGACAACGTGATCAAACTGGACAAGTTTTACTGTAAAGAAATGTTAACGCAACCATTAATCATCCAATTTGAACATTTTTGCCTGTCTCTGTGTTCTTCTGTATTGGATTTCTTTCTTTTGTGTGAAAAAAATAATATATTTAAATCTTAGAAATATTGTTCTGCTGTCATGTACACATTAGACTCTGCAGTGACTCCCAGCCATGTTACAGCTTTGTGTGCACACTTCGGTTTTACATTCATTTCTTTCATCTAATGCAGTCATGCGGAGAGTAACACCACTTAATAAACTTTGACTTGACTTTGTGCTGCCCTCTTTTGTGTGAAGTGTCAATTATTTTCTCCTCTGCTCTGTGTTTCCTGGTTAAACATTTCATTTTAGTTGGCAGCAGCGAAAAATTCACCAAGTAAATGAAAAGTATAGTTAATTATTAATCAAGCCAAATATGACGCCATTGGGTTCTAATTTTTCACTCTAATTAAAGAGCTTGATAGGGTCATCCTCTGAGTGAAGATGTCCACTTTGACACAAGTACAAATTTGTTTTGCAACAGACGTCTCGCAAAATGTGTTGCAAAACTCAAGCAGCGCAGATTCGCGCGAGAAAAGTAGTGGATTTTTTATTACAAGCAATATTTTTACATAAAAGTTCACTTTTTTTTACCTTCAAATTCTCACATCACATTCTACAAGCTCTCCTATTTTGCAGCATATCTACCTTCATACTCGGTCTCCAGACCTGACTAAACTCTGCGGTGGCTCTGATGTTTTGACCGCAGAGCGTTTTTTTTTTTTCCTCTCCCCCTCCTCTCTCCCCTGAGCCCTCGGATGAGGTTCACTGCTACGTCTCAGTCACGTGGCTCTCCTCAGTGTGGAAGCTTTGCTCTCTGCGGCTCCTCGGCACAAGGCAGCGATGTGGAGGCTGAAATGTGAGATGCAACTCAGAGGGACTCGCTCGTAGAGGCAAAGTTATGGCACGTTCATCGTCGGAGAAAAACGTCCCGCAGCAGTTTCTCTCCTCCAGAAGGTCCCTCGCCGGTGATGCGCACGCCTTCCTGGGACGCACAAACCCAGAGCGAGAAGACCGAAAATTACGCATCAGGTTCAACTAATTGAATCGACGAATATAAAAGGACTGAGGGAGTTTTCAGGTATGGATTTTTGTGTGTGTGCCATTTTTTCCCTTTAACCCAAGACATGAATAGTTTTTACAAAAAAAAACAAAAAACAAGACGAAGATTTGTTTTAATTTAATACATTATATTAATATTAAATTATGTACACCTGTTTTTCTTTATTATTGGAATACTTTTGTCAGAACAAACTTCCTCCAAACTGTTTCAAACCCAAAACTTATTTAGAATTTTCAAACTTTTCTCCTACGTTGCGTCAATGCAGGTGCAGCCTCTTTTACTCAGATCCCAGAAAACATCCCCTTAATATTCAGCTTGGATGGATCAGCTTGCAATTTTTTTTACGCATCCTCTTCAACGATCCTTTTCTTTCCTCCCAGAGTTAAGCTGAGTGAGGGGCACGATGCAAAAGGCCTGTCTGTTGAGCTTTATGTTCTCATTCACATATAAATATACATGATGTGATGTATAGTTTGACTTACAGTGTTCATGTGTATATGTTGCACCCATGAAAAGACCAGGACTCTGTCTTCCGTTTGGCAACTTTATTCTTCCCGGTGCTGTATTTATTTATGATTATCTTTCTTAAGAAGCATCGGGTCCTCAACAAAAACGGCATACATGCGCATTCATCCCTTGACCACGACCCCGACCTTTTACGTCAACTCTGCACGCAGGCCGATGACGTCATATATCAAACCTAAAATTAAAAGAGTTCATTACAACTTTTTAATTTCTGTGTAAACTAACATGAAATTACAGTACCTGTATGTTTTTTTAATTAACAAATTAAACAAATGTGAAATAATATTACATACAATACTTTCTAACTTATAGTGTTGTGTGCTTTCTTCTGTCAAATTTAATTGCATACAAATATTTCTAGGTCGCAACATATATGTTTTATACAACGTTTATTTTGCATGCACTTGAAGAATAGTGTACATGTTGAGATCTTATTTTGTTATTCATGACGTGCCTTCCTGTTGTGATGCGTTTTGCGACCTACGTTAAAGAGCCCATATTATGCTTTTTCTGGGTTTATGTGCTCTTTAGTGTGTTTTCCTGTGCATGTTTAGGCACATCTATTTGCAAAAATTCAAAGTCCGCGTAAACGCTGCTTCTCCCGCGTCCTCCTGTTCGCTGCAGCATTAGCTGCATGTAACGCTCGGTTCTAGCCCCCCTCGAAAAAAAAAATTGCCAGTGTGACGTCAGCTCATGTGGCACGCCCACCATATGCCGCAGCCTCAGGTAGCACAGTTGTGCTAAGGTGCTCTGGAAGTTCACAACCACAACATGTAAGTACGCTTCATTGTCTTTTTTATTTGTTTGAAAACAACTTTTTAGCTGCTACGGATACATTAGTTCTGTGAAGGCTGTCTGTAGCTGAACTGTAAACCTCGGCTAACATGCTAAGTAATGCTATTTTTCGAAATTTGAGCAGTGCTAAACTATTTATCAACTTTCACCTAAAGCGGTAACAGGTGTAGCAGTGTCAACCACCCTCAGACATGTAAGTAGTGTTTTGGGGGTCCAGATCCGCTTGTTACGGACTCAGAGCATTATTGGACTCTGCAAACGCTGACATTGTTGTGGTTAGCCTCTCTCTAGGTTTTGTGACTTTGCATTTGTTTATTGGTGTGAGAAGCTTGAACGGTGCTAAAGTTCGGGTTTTATGACCGTGGTTCGAAAAGGTCTAATGAATGTAAAATCCACTTTGTTACAGTGTCTGAGCTTTATAAGACTCTGCTAACTTCCCGGCTAACACAGCTGTTGTTATCCTCTTTCTACTCTCTTATCCACCTCTTCGTAAAACTGCTTTGTTACGTGGTGATTTTTTATCGATGTAGTAAGCCAGACCATTGCTAAAGTATTGATAATTGATCTAAACAGCTCGGCCAGTGTTCAGGTGGTGTTGTTTAATCATAGCACTGACTGCAAAAGAACGGGTTAACCCATATATTTATATAGGCTATTCAGTAACACGAGAAACGTCAAGATGTGTGCAGCAGGCACTTTGTTTTGAAAGATATGTGTGGTCTAAATATTTAGCTATGAACAAGAAGACAGTGCATTTTTGAATCATGTTAGATTGCCATGCTAAATTTGCTATTTTTCTGTCTCTTTTTACAAACAAAGTGTACCAAATACGGAGCGGTCACACTGGTCAAACGAATTGGACTTTAGCGTTGAAGCGTGCTTGGGCACGGTACGGATGGCCAGTGTGACCGCGCCCTAAGGGACAAGCAAAGGTACGCACACACACCTAAAAAAAATTGTCCAACTGCTGAAATCTGACGAAGAATATCAGAAAACTGTGATTTCATTACATGATTGCTGATTTTAGTTTTTTGTATTGTAGCTTGTTGCTGTCTGTGATGCATAACAACGAACATGCTGAACGTGATAAAGCTACAACCTCTACAGGACAGCTGGTCTATAAGGTGGCATTCCTCAAATCCCCAAAAAACAGACACAACATACAATGAGTTACAAATTATTTTATTTTTTGAACCCAAAAGGACAACACATTTTTAAACCTTTAAAGTGATAAATACCTATTTAAATATACCTTTATAGTCTTTGTAAACGTTTCCAAAAAACAGATGAGTGTGAAAAATGAGCAGTAACCAAACATTATGAAATAGATTTTTGTTCTTGAATTACTTTTTTACAGGATATGTCAGGGACTTGGGCACTGGTGTTGGAGATGTTTCAGGAACCAGAACCATTCATGGAGGAGCTGCAGAAAATACCTGGCTCTGAAAAAGAAGAAGTGGTGGCTCGACACGTGTCCAGGTGTAGTCAAGGGGCGGGCGGAAGCCAACATACTGTCCAGTCGGGTCAGGAAACTCGGGGCGAGTCCTCAGGACGACACACGATAGGATAACCACTCCAACCACTGCCAAGTGTCTGCACAGCCTGCATGGAGACAATATAGTTGGATGTAAAAATGTTACTTCTCATTGTATATTTACACGTATAGTTCTACACATTTAAATGTTTTTTTTAACCGAAACTGAGAATAAATAACTTTCAAACAAATGATTTTCTCACTTGTTTACTTTTATTCCTCTGAAATAGTGAAACTGTTTGATTAGAATGTATTTGATTGAAGATGTAAGTCATTATTTATAATGAACATACTCTTCTGCAGTTCTCTGTGACGTTCTCCTCTGAAGATGTTGTGGATGTTTTGAAGTGTATATGGGTTTAAACAGTCCTGGATGTTTTTGGTACAAGGAACAGGCAGTGGATATATTCTCCTGATGAAAGAAGAAGAAACTGATCAAAATGAAATAATGTTCAATAAGAAGGAAAATAATGACAGAGGAGGAAACATTATTGCATGAGATATTGATCCAACAACCACGTGATTATCACCTGGGCTTTTGTAAGTCAAAGTAAGTCTATGATGTCATTGATACTTACAATTGCTCATTGAATTTTTAATCACATCAAGGAGGTGATTTAAAATGCAGAACAGTCGCTGCAATAAACAATGTACAGTACTAATGTAAATACAATAAAAATGTATTGTACAGAACACATTTGTGGCCAATAATCATATTGTAATCAAGCCAAACTTTGTGAAGCCACGAGTAAGACATATATTGATTAGGTAAACATGCTGGTAGCTCCAGTCAGTGAAATTGGAGGAGGCTAACGTATTTTTCAACACAATAACAGTGAGTATTTTTATGATAAAAAGATCATAGGCTACGTTGCTATATCCCGGTTACAGTATTCTGCAGCACACCTTTTCTGCTTTGGTAGGCAGTTAGCTGCAGTTTCCACACATACACCACAACAATGAAGTTACCCGATGAGCAGAAATTACACACATATTACATCTGAAAGGACTGCAAAATAAATACCTGCAACACCGAAACGCCGTGCTAATGCTCATGATTGTTCCTCCTGGATAACGCCGTTGCTTGTTTACCTGCTGCTCTCGCTGCATTCCCAATATGGTAAAAGGGGCGTGGCATTTCCGAGAACTGACCAATTGCGACAGAGCGGTTCGGCCGACCAATCATATCAGACTTGGCCCACGTGGGAATTTGCAGAGTGGGCTTTACGAACAGTATCAGAGCGGAGAAGGTGCAAGGAGGAGCAGTACATGAAAACAGACACATTGTTTTTGACTGTGAACATATTTTAGTAGGCACATAAATTAAATATATGAACCCATAAAAGGGCATAATATGACCCCTTTAAGATGTAAGAGCGGGAGATCGGTGGTTGTATTCCATGGCTGCTGACGAAATGCTATTCCAGTTAGCTGTGAAGAAGGAATGAATAAAAGGTGACGTGATTAAATTAAAGTGTGATTATTGGTAACATGGCTGACGAAGCAGCCGACCCGAACACTGTCAACTGCGGTCAAGGCAGCCGCTCCTCGCTTTTACATGAAGTGAAGTGAGCCGCCCCTAAATTTGAAGTGCCCACGTATTCTGATCTTTATGGTAAATGCTCCGGACTCCAGAGGGAGTAACAGACAGAGAGAGCGATTTTGCTCCCTTATTATTCTCCTTTTTCAAAAAAAGTGCTAAATGCCGAAATCTTACCATAAAACTGGCTATGAGATACACGTGTATGAAACGGGAGCATAATATTACGAGTCTGCGGTAACTTCCGTTTTTCAATATACGGTGTTCACAATAAAATAAAATAAAACAGCTTTCTTGGAGAAAAAAAAAAAAATATATATATATATATATATATATATATATATATATATATATTAGTACTTCGAAGACTACATGCACAGGATCTATGGAGAACTTCCACTGTGTACTGTTTGAGAAATCCACTGTCAAAGTTCCTTATAAATAGCTATAATGAGTCTTTTTTCTGACTTTTATGTCTTGTAAAAACATTTTCCTCCATAAGTACACCATGATTCTGATATGATTGGACTTAGTACTTCTTAGACTACATGCACAGGTACTATGAAGTACTTTTACTGTGTACTTTTTGAGAAATCCACTGTCAAAGTTTCTCGTAAATCACTA